AATGAAACAGAGGATATTTCGGTCATCTGAAAATTCTTCAGGTGTCCCAGAAATAATGATAATAGCTGTAATTTTTTATAGGTGTTCCAGGAATAATGAAAACAGCTGTAACCGTTTAATTTAGCCGGCATTAAGATAATCCGGTCCATGATTACTATAATTAAACGCTACAGGACCTAAAATTCTGTCGGGAGCCTAATTGTGATGCATGTCTGCCGGAAAGTTTTCGCGCTTGTTATAGTTACACGAAATCGTGTTATTTGATTGGTCAACAGTACTTTCCTGACGAAAAAAAAAAATCCAAATATTTGCCGATATCCAAATAAATTTTTGCAATTTGATATCCAAATTTTTCCAGGTCCCTGATTTCAATTCAGGTATGATATCTCACTAATATTTAATGAGGGATCATATTAAAGTCGATATATATTAGGAAATTTTAATATATAGAAATGTTTAGGTTGAGATATTAACGAGGGTCAAGTGTAATATTATTTTTCAAAATTTATCGACTTTTCAGAATCTGGCTCAGCGATTCTGAAAGAACATGAATATAATAAATGCTACAAAAAATAGTTACTAACAAAGCAGATAACAACAAACATGAAAAGATATAAAGTGGGCCACATACAAGAAGCCCACTGTAATTGTCAGAATTTGAAGGTTTCATATATTTCTGTAAACCACAATAAATATGCCAAATCATAAAGCAAACTAAGCGTTTATAGTAGCTATGAGTTTTGGCCACATGATTTTTTAGTATTGGAAGGCAAGTATCGTAATGCTTGCACTTACCCCAAATTTTTCTTTAAACTTTTGACAATTCATTTCTGAGTCCCTATTTTTCGAAATTGTTTCTACACGTATGTAGTATTTTCTTTTCGAAATAAAATCGTAGAGTTATTTATACGATATTGATAAACTTCAAGAAAACCGTGTGAAAAGTTCAAAATTCAGATATATTAAAATGGAATATGCTTTATTTAATTGGAAACTTGAAAATTTTTTGAATGCATCTCTAAGACTTAGCGGTTTCAAAGATCCACGTGAGCAAGTAAGGCCAATCAAAGTCTTTTTTGATCAACCAATAAAAACGAATTTCCATGGTACTAACTTATATGTATAAATGCTCAAAATCTGCATCACAATCGAAAAAAGATGTTGCTTTTCGATGCTGATAAAAAACAAAGTAAGCAAAAACAAGGCCGATATTCCGAATTTCAGGCAATTGTTCTTGCAGGTTATGGTCATAGGTAAGGATATTCGTTTCAATAATAAATATTTGTTTTAATTAACAGAATCTAGTATTAAAAGCATACTACTTGTTCTTAAATTGAACTATAGACTATATCCATTATCCGAAGATAATAATCTTCCTAAAGCTTTAATTCCAATAGCCAATAAGCCAATGATCTTTTATGCCTTGGATTGGCTGGAGAGAGCAGGAATTTTTGGTATTTATTTTCATTTCTAATTTTGACAATATACATGGATGATTGAAGTATAACTTATTTTCATTTTAAAAAAATAGATGTATTAGTTATTACTGAAGCAACTGGTGAACACAAAATTGGCCATTATCTTAAAAATGACTATGAAGGGAAACTAAAACCAAATATGGAAGTAGTTAGGGAGGATGTTGGAACGGCCGATGTATTGAGAATTTTCAGTGAAAAAATAAAGGTAAACGTTATTTTTATTCGTGGAATAGCTTGAATTGAACATCAACTGATTACACCATAAATAAAATTAGAGCGATTTTATTGTAATGAGTTGTGATCTTGTTTTTGACTTGGTGCCTCATCGATTATTGGATTATCATCGAACACATGATCCAACATTTACAACATTATACTTTGAACCAAATAAATCTGAGGGTGGCGGTGGAAGTAGTGGTAGTAATAAGGATGATAGTAAGTCATTAAACTTTGAGTGCAGTTTCTATTTTTACTGATTAGTCATAATTATTCCTATTTATCTTACTAAGAAGAAGATCCAAAACAATTTGTTGGTGTGGATACCAATAGATCACGTATTGTATATGTCGCATCTAGTGCTGATCTAGAGGAAGAATTTTCTTTACGCATGTCATTACTATGGAAGTATGTATTTTTATCTATTTCTATAAAGGTTTCTAACGATAATTCATAAGCTTATTCAAATTTGCCTCTGTAGGTTTCCATGTATAGACATTCATACAACCTTACAAGATGCGCACCTTTACATCTTCAAACGATGGGTAATTGATTTAATTGTACAGAGAAAGGCTATTTCTAGCGTACGAGAACATCTTGTTCCCCTACTTATAAAATGCCAATATCAAAAAAAGCTGTTGGATAGTGAGGGTATTAACAAGTGTGAGTACAATAGATACATTCTTCAAATAATCCATGCTGAATATGTTACTGAAATTTGGCAACTTTGATAGTGGCAGCAACATACGAAAATTTTCAAAAAACTGCACTTAAATATTCTGCTTCAGGGGATGACAAAAATTCTCCAGTACGATGTCAAATATATATATATAACACTGGATTTTGTGGACGCGGAAATACAATCTACAAATATTGTGATCTAAATCGTCATGTATAGTTTAATTTACTTTGTTTGATGCGCTTTAAATGTCTGGATTTTAATTTTATTATTGTAGATGACGAAGATACATGTTGATCCGCGTGTATCTCCATCTGCAGAAATAAATTCAAAGGCACAAGTAAGTCTAGATTCATAACGTCATATATATAATATATTACCGTTGTCTTATTTTGTTTTTTCCGCTTGCTTTAAATAGGTTGGATCGGATTCATTAGTTGGCGATGACACGAAAATTGATGAACGTACGTCCATCAAACGTTCAACAATTGGCACACATTGTATAATTGGCAAAAATGTCAAAATCTCAAACTCGATACTAATGGATAATGTCGTCATTGAGGATAAGTATGTATTATTCAATGGGTCGAACTAACGTAGTCGCTATATAAATATTTGGTTGTTACAATTTCCTTATTCTATAATAATAACTATCACATCTAGTGTCAAATTGGATGGGTGTGTAATTTGTAACGGCGCTAAGATAATGGAAAAATCTCAATTGAAAGATTGTGAAGTTGGTGGTGGCTATGTTGTTGTTTCTGAAAGTATGTTTCTTTTTTTTATTTTGTTGATCTTTATTTGTTTGATTTAAATGTTGATAAATTTCCGATTTCATAGCACAAGCAAAAAATGAGCAACTTGTTGAGTTTCGTGACATGGACTAATTTATTCAGTAATTCAGAATAAAAAAAAAATTTATTAATTTATATAGTTAATTGAATAGATTCATTGTCAATCTTGTTTGTTTTATTATGGTAAGTTTACAACCGGTTAAGACATTAGCAGTGCAATAAATCATACTATTAAATAGTGTTTTAAGTCATATGGTTTAATCAGATGGCTAAGCCAGCCTACTAAACATTGGTTACGCAGCTGGCTAACCACTTACATTATGGAACTTTTCCCTAAAATTTATTATATCTTCTCGCCTATAATCATGTGATCTTTAGCTGCATTACTCAGACGACTACTTTATGTAGGCTGGCTTAGCCAAGCTGTATTAGCCGGTTTAAAAACACTATCGCTATTTCTGAGAAATCTATCGCTATCACAAATAAAGTAATTTCATACATTTGGTGATCGATCTATTATTTAATGTAATCGTGAAAATAGATTTGGAATCAGGCTAAGGCTGATAACACAAATTTCAAAGTTACTCTCGAGAATTAAAAATAAAATGAAACAAAGAAAAATAAGTGTTATCATATTTATCTTTACTCTTTTCACCGTGAGCTTCTTAATTGAACCTAATTCTGAAGCTGCTGCGATACCCGAATCATTTTTCAAGAGATTCGATTTTAAAAGTAGGTTTTATTATTCTTTAAGTTGACAAAAATTGAAATCCTTCTCTAAATTTATTATATTAATATCAGAAAATGTGAAAAGAGCTCAATCGACAAGTGATTGTACGGCGATATGTGAATTTTATTTGTGTCCATGGTTGGAATACCAGTGTTGTAAATGGTCTATGAATTGTGATTGAATAAAATTTTCAACTTTGATGATTCTATCTTAGTTTCCAGTTTCCAATTTATAAAAAAAAAAAAAAGAAAAACTTCTATCGATTTTTGTGAATAGTAAATAGTTATATGCTTTTACGAGAATTTCTTTTACGAGTTTACTAAATCAGCTGCCTGAAAAACTATTAGTTAAAATATGCACTATCATTATATCCATATATTAAAAATCAGATAATTTATCGAACCCGATAATTCAATGATACCCTTCTAATCATTCATTATCTGCAAACGCAAACAGGAATTCTTTACACAACGAAATGCGGGTTTTTAATTAAAATAACCGGTCAGGGATTTTACTAAATTTGAGGATTCACTAAAACATTAATTCAATATATTGATCTACATACTATATAATTCTGTTCTTGACATTGTCTACATAAAAATGTAACTTTAGTTAACCTTCTTTTAGTAAATCTCCAATTTTGCAATCTTGTCTTCGAAATTTGATTAGCAACTGATCCTCTTTATTATAATCTATAAAAATTTTTACAAGCTTTTTAAATACAGTTAGATTTTTTTATAGTTCATCTTATTATGAAAAAAACTACGTTTTTCGGAGGGGAAATTCCTCCCCTTAATATTATTAAATTTAGGGTTAGAGTATTATTTAGACGAAGCTTAGGGTTAGATATTAGGAACTCAATTTTTGTTAAGCATAAGATTTTTGGGGTTCTGAACATTTTTACTTAGTACCCCTGAGGTGTGTTAGCTAGTACATATATAAAACACCCGGTGATCTTCCCCCGGTAAAAATTATAGTGTTTATACTCGGTCAAAATGTTACTTGGTTAACCGGCAAGTAAACCCATGGGTTACTCAGGTAATCAACAAATATACCCAGCATAGAGGGCTCTTAATTTAATTGGATGATATTCCAAAATTTATTAGCCACGAATACGAATTGGAAAGCTTGGAACTCAAAAAATTTTAAAGTGTGGTCTTGTTTTATATACTATATATCAAAGTAATTCGGTAATCCTCAAGGTAATTCGGAAGTTAGATGAGAGGTATGTTTGAACTTTTAAGTTTAGCCTATAGAAATAATAAAATAATTAAACATAGCAATTAAACAGTCTTTTATTATTTTTCATAAGCCCAACTAATAAAGAAACCTGATAATATAGGCTAATAATACAATATGAAATCATGTATCATAAAACTTGTAAATTATATAGAAGAGTTAAAGCTAAGTAGTAACAATGTAATCATATAATGATTATTAAATAAAATTATCAGTTTGATATTAGAAAACACTAAAAATTATCTCTCTTAATTTTTTTATTAGCTGTTAATGTTTTAAATATTTATTTTTGTATTATTGCTTTTGTTTTATTTTTTTTTGATTCATAGTATATTAGGATTTTTAAAGTTATTGAGATTTATAGTAAAGACTTCTGACAGTATTAATTTAATCATAATATAGTTATTCTATATATATATTTTTTTTAAAAAAAAAAAAGCAGATACTTTTTCACTATAATTTTTTATTAAATAAACTATATGATTATAGTTACAACTTATTATTTAATATTATATTAAATTAGAATTAATTTATTCTTGCACCAAATCTTTATCTAGTAAGGTTGTACCTGTTTGATTCTATCTGAGATTTTTGCACTTCTGATTATTTCTATTAGTATTTTATATTGTTATAAAATAAGTTTTCTAAATTTCTTATTATTAATATTATATAGTATTATTATTATTATTATTATTATTATATCGACAATTCATCACTCTTTCTGATGATCTTCTGGACAACACAACAAAAAATTGAACTACAGAAAAACGATATAGGAAGTCTTAAGATATATACTATTTTAGTTCTGTCTTTGAGTAAGCAGTTGTCAACGAAACCTAAAGACATAAAATACCGAAGAGCGGGCATAACTTGGGCAGTTTTTCTTGGGGTCAAGCTTTTGTTTTCGGTAGACTTCTCAAGATATTTGGCATCCAAACCAGAAGGGTATTTTGAGAACTAAACTTACCTCTGAACAGGTTGCTGTCAACGAAGCTTGAAAGACATGAAATATTGAGAAGCAGATGTAACTTAAGTAGTTTTTCTTGGGGTTAAACTTTCTTCTTGGTGGATTCCCAGGATATTCGGCATCCAAACTAGAAGGTTTATTCTAAAAGCAAGTAGTAGAATGGTTCTCGCTAAGATAGTATAATTTTGTAGAACCAACTATACAACCGTAAAACCTATAGAAGAACCTCACATACTTTCGTTGTTCCCACTATTTTTTCAAGAAAAATTTTGTAAAAAGTGGGCGATCTAGCTTACCCCCTCCAAAAGATCGACATATTGTTTACTTTCCAAATTTGGCAGTATTGTTTACTTTTTTACCTGTTACAACAAATACGTGGATATATATAGAGTAGTAGATCTATGATTACGTGTCTCGAATGTGACAACCTAGACAAACAATGTTCTGAGCTCAACAGTGTAATTTTCTGACCTCTTTACGGTACCGAAAGTCGAAGAAGCTTTCCTTTTTTGTTTTTTTTTAGGTTTTAAGTTTAAACATACTATGTATATAAATTAGTGTAGAGAATAGTTTAGATAGTAGTATGTAATTTTTAAAAGCCTGACACAGGCTTATAATTGTGACTGACCAGTGTGGGTGAAATATCTCATGTTTAGTTTAGTTTTTTTTCATTTTACCCTTACTTCTTTCTTTTCTTTTATTTGTTTTTTTTTTATATATCCCTCTATACCTTTGTGTTTCTTTTATATAAGTTTTTTTTTTTTTCTTTTACTTCTCTATGAGAAGATATCATCAAATTGGTGATATCCTATTGTAGAGTGGTGGTCGGATAAGCCCCAGTAGGGTATTATCTTAATTGATCGTACCTCTCTGGTGCGGTATAGTCACCTGTAGGTACGTGTAGGTAATCGGTTAGGTTACGCAAGATAACTGCAAGATGTCAAACCTGTAGTTTTAATACTATGCACTTCCACAAGTGGCGCTTTGTTAAATAAAGGTACTGGCGCAATCTGCCAAAGTGAAGCAAAAAAAAAATTATTATTATTATATTATTTTATATTCTATTGTTGTATTATTATATCATTGTGTAATTGTCCAGAGCAAAGCAGAGGACACTTTGTTTTTACAACACTGTTTGATCGATAGTATCACGTGTATCTGTCTGTTTGTTTCTGCTTATCCGATTGGCTACTACTTACATGCTTATTGATACTTATATATTACATTACATTTTTTTGATCGTATTATACACTTTTTAATCATTATTACACTTTTTAATCGTTACCTTGCAATACAAGAACAATTTTTATTTATACACTTTAGAGTAATTAATTTTTTATTTAAGCTCTGAACTTATATTGGTTCCTAATTTCTAGTATTATTAAATAGTTTCACATAGCATTAGAAACAGAGAGAATGATTACCATTTTTATTATTTTTACCATTTCCACCATTTCTACTATTTCTACCATTTCTACTATTTTTACCATTTCTATCATATTTACCATTTCTATCATTTTTACTGTTTCTACCATTTCTACTTTTCTACCATTTCTTATTATTTCTATTAGTTTTATTAGTTTAGGAAAAAGATATATAAATCCTGGTTTTTTCTCTTTCTGCCAGATAAGATTCAGACATCTCTTCTAGATATAGATACCTTTTAGTTATAAGAATATTATCTCTTGTAATTAAAGTCTTATATTATAAATAAAATATATCTTTCTTTAAACTATATCAGAAATTTTTTTTGAAGATTTGCATCGATTGCTACAAGCAGAGGCAATTGTAATCAATTTTTTATATGATATATATCAATTATTGGTTATATATCAATATATATCACTAAGGGCAGTATTATTTATCATCTGATTATTTTTATTAGAGACTTACCTTCTCTTAATATAAAAAAAATCAGGTTCTTATATATAATTTTAACTTTTTTTACTCCCTCCCCTCTAAAAAATCACCTGATTTTTGTTATGTTCCTAACAATATATATCGATTATAGTTATATATCAATATATATCACTAACGATATATATCGATTATTATAAATTTCATTAAATTTTATCAAACTTTGATATAGATTTTCTCAATAACTATCAATTGAAATTGGGTTAAAATTTTTACTATAGATAGTATTAGTATTCAACT